GAATGTAGCATGGAGACCATCGAGAAGCTGTTCCGGAAAGGGGTGGACGACACCATCCTAATGCTTTGCGACTCCTATGACACCTGCAAGTTTCGGACGCTGGAGTATGGAGGGGTCATTCTCGGCTTTGGTCGAGAAATCTACTGGGATAGTGGCAGCCCCTCGGGCTTGCGTACTGCTGCGCGATACCTGCATGCTGAAAGGGATGAAGAGGCCACCCAACTGCCTTGAGCTTTGAAAAAGGCGTGCAATGTCGCAATGTTCAGGATTCAGGGTGGTTTACTACAGCCTTTGAGATTGCATCAAAACGAGGCAGGGGTTTTCTTTTGAAAGGTAGTAGCTTTTTTGAGGATCATCCAGCTGATGAGCATACAGGTATCCAGGCACCGTGTTTTTGTATGCATGTCCATCGCATGAGCATTTCAATCACGACACCCCTGTGGTCTAGAACAGCTTTGTTTTCTTCAGATCCATTTGCATTTAACAGCTCTCTTATGTCTGCAGGAATCTGGAAGTTTGGGCCACTTGAGGCAAGCTAAGCCGGGGGCAGGACTTCAGCCGTGAAGAATGAAAGGTGTTGTGTGGCCGTAGTGAAGCGGCACGTTCTTTGTTGATTTCAGCAGGTGGTATGCAAGCGAAAGTCAGGCACAGGCCCTAGAAGCCGCCAAGAAAGGCTTGAGAGCCTCCGATGAATGTCATCTTCTAATTCCAGCCTTGCTTGAGGGGCTAACCCCAAACCCTACAACAAGCATCCTAAGACCCTATAATCCTAAAGAAGCCTTGAGCCCTAAACCCTAAGCAGAGGCCGGACACCTGGATGCCGTGGACCGTCGAACCGTGGTCCTTCCCGAACGGATGCAGCTGCTGGAGGCCTGCCTAAAGAAGTCACAGTTTACTTGCTGGGGGTTAGTAGAGAATAAGGGAATACATTGAATGGGGACGATATAGGGATTACATTTCCTTGTTCCCTACTAACCCCGAGCAAGTTTAGGGTTAGGGGCCAGGGGTTCAGCAACAAAAGCATTGTTTCAATCGTCTGGGCCTGCGGCCACCTGTTTGACAAACCCCTGCAAATTGGGATGCTATTGTCTCGAGGGACGTTGATTTTAAAACATACGTGACTCCTTGCCTAGGGTTTGCGCAGGTACAACATACTTGGCAACTGTACTTCCGCCTATTTCCTTGCTTGTGAGTGGGCTTGACCGGCGGATCAATCCGGGCTTTCCCGCTTGGCTCAAGCTGCCGTGAGGCTGAACCCTAAACCCTAAACCCTCCCTCATGTGGGTGACATTGTATCTGTGGAGCAAAGACCTTGATCCACACTTCTGCACAAGCTCCCCATTCTGGCGCTATATTCACGAAGCAGTCGGTCCTACTAAACAGTATTACTACAATCATTTGTCTTACTATGATTATTAATTACTACTATTATCATTGTTACTAGTCTTGTCATTACTATTGCCATTATCACTGACATGTTACTGTTATAGTAATTGTGATTATTAAGAATGCCTAACATTCCCCGCTTGCAATCGATTGCCGGTTGAAGCCAGGAGTCGCTGAGGCAACTGGCTACAGCCCTCCTGCTCGGTGAGGCATGGACTTGAGAATAGCACTCTAGGGATAACTAGGAGTTTAGACTATAGACCATCCAATTCCAATATATTCCCAAGTCCTGCAACATAGTAGTTTCTACCTTCTTTTCCGTTATCCTACGAACATTGCCCCGAACCTTTGAGACAATTCGGGCTCCAGCTACAACTGGTAAAGTGCCTAAATAGAGGAACCCCAATATGGACCCAAAATGCAATAATCCTTAGTACTGGGACTCCTATGAGGTACCCCTAATTTTGTGGAAACCCCCAAATCTTGAATGATCCAGGCTGCACAGCTGTCCTCTCCTGGTGCAGAGGCCGGGCAACTGTGCGGGGTCTGCCTGGCTCTAAACCTCAAATAGTAATTTCCATTTTCTTTTCCATTTTCCATTATCCCTATAGTACCCCTATATATATATATACGCCCTATTATAATGAACAGTTTCCATTTTATTTTCCATTATCCCAATGAGGTGCGGTCCGTCGCTCGTTCTTGCAAATGTACATCTCGCCCTGACTCGTTCATGCGTAGAGCTCTGGCGATGCTGCTGATAGCTCACCATATTGCATACTGCTAGAACTGGAGAAGTAGCAGTGTCTGAGCTGTGTTTGTGCAAGACCTTTTTTGGCAGCAGCAATGGACATGCTCATATTTCCTAATAGCAGAGCCCCCAGCCCCCAGCTCCCGCTGAGTCAGTTCGGGCTTCAATCTGCAGGTTTGGCGCATCAAGGGCCTGGTTTCGGTGTCAGGCTTGGGCAGCCAACTGGCACCATCGCTTATTGATTCTCAGTAGGGCATAATGAGGGAATATGACCCCAATATTATCCCTGTATAATACATTCCCATATTCCCTACTAAGAACCAGTAAGCTAGGATATCTGATTGTCAGCTTTCTGCCTTCGTGGAGCAAGTGTGGTAAGATGCTGTGGGCCTGAGCCAAAACAAAGCAGGTCGAGGACCTATGTTGCTCCAAGGAGCAGGGGACCAGGTGGGAGGTTTAGGGTTTAGGGTTTCCGTCAGCTTTGTATTGCTGCAGGGATTGCCGCCATGGCAAATGCCTGAATCAGCATTGCTACCGCTACAATTGCAGACAGCGAGGCGTAGTCTTACAATCGTAGCTAAATCACTATGCCGGTACTACAGTTCCTGCAGCTCCTAGGTACCTCGTCCATATTTATGGGCATCCATGACCAAACGGTAGAAAAGTGTCTGCTCTTGACCCATGGCCCAATCTGGAGCGTATCCGAGTAGAAGGAGAGCGCAGTCGTGGCCGCGCCAGTTGTCACAAACGATCGCCACTGCTGTTGTGGTGATGGTCCGAGTAGCAACGCCTGTATACAGGACAGCCATGAACTCATGACACCTACGACAGCTTCTCATGATGACTGGCATGCTTGCAATCATGAATCATAAGAATAATGCATCCTCTCAACCCTTGCCATTTGCCTTTGAATAGGTCTCCCTGGAAGTCTGGGAAGATCCAGTGAAGGTCATGCCCTTAGCGTCAGATTCCGGTCAGAAACCTGTGCACATCTCAAAGACATCGAAATTGTTAATCCTGATTATGCCGAAGCTCTGGAGTGTAACATCAAACTGAAGACATCCAACCCTAAACATCCATTTGGAAGACTTGCCAATCTTGTGTGTCCTTGCAGGTGTTCTTCCTGGTCTTCATTGGCGTAGAGCTGAACCAGGACTTGCTGGAGGCTGGCGCATAACCTCCTGCATCAGAAGCTCCCTTGCGTAAAATATTTGGTTGTTAGTAGGGGCTGAGGGAATCTAATCCCTACATAATGTATTCCCTTATTCCCGTCTAACCAACCGAACATATTATAGTAGTTTTCAATATAGCCCTAGTATAACCCCTGTATAGCCGCGATTGTAAGTAAAGAGTCATGGGGATCTGCCTGCCGTCCTAACAGGCTGCTGTGGCTGCCTGCCGGGACACGAAGGCTCCAGAGCCACTCCTCAACTTGGACGAGCCCGAGCCCAGTCGGCGAAGTGGCTTCAAGCCATACTAGCAACAAGGCGGTCTCCTGATGATAAAACCCTAGATAGTAGTTTCCTTTTTCTTGTCCATTATCCCTACGCAATCCCTACATAATCCTTCTAATATCCTATACATCCCTGAGGACAGAGCTTGAAGATCTGCTGTTCGGGGGACCTTCGGTCCAGCGACCTGCGACCTGCCTTACCGCTAAGCCTTCCAACTTGGATGGTCACAAAGTGGAGACATCGGTGCATCAATCAAGCCGTCTCTTGCTGCTGAACATGCGGCGAGAAAGGGCTGATGTGATAAAGACGTTCCCGGATGCATCAGACAGGTTCTCTCGGTCGACCTCGTAGAGAGTGAGAGGTATTCGTCCTGCAGTCAAGAAAGAAATGAGTTGAACGGAGGGCAAGCTACCGCAAATGTGTAAGCACATGTGTATATCTACATGTGTGTATGTGGAATAACATAGCTTTCTCCGGAGAGAGTCTGACAACTTGGTTTAGGTTCCTGAACAACCACCTAGACGATAAAGCGTCCATCCCTATGTAACCTTCTCCAGTATCCCTATATATCCCTATATAACCCCAATTTACTATAGTAGTCCTGAACAACAACCCAGACGACGGAGCTTCCATTCCTTGCCGACGACGGTGTGGCGGAGATGCATGAGCTCAGGTTGCAAAAAAGGCTGATAGGGCTAATGGAAAAGAAAATGGAAACTACTATAATGGGGTCTAGGGTTTTAGGGTTTAGGGATAGTGGAAAAGAAAATGGAAACTACTATAGTATATTGGGGCCATATAGGGATAATGGAAAAGAAAGTGAAAACTACTATCGCATATTTGGGTTATTTAAGGATAATGGAAAGCGAAATGGAAACTGCTATAGTAGGTGTCTGCCTCACTTCCGTGTGGATGTAGAAGTTTCTCAAAATGTGGGGCCCTTAAGCTCCTGAAGGAGATATGGAGACTACAAAGGGACTATGGAGCGTCTCTAACCCAGGGAGTACGCAGGGGACATTTTGACAAACTTTCAGATGAACAAGGTTTATTTATTTCTGACCTTGGTGAGTGTACATGGGGTTCTTTAAGCATATGTTGGTGTGTGCCCTTTGCGGGTGACCATACATATGACTCCTACCTCATAAGAAGCTGCAGATGCCCTACAATCAGTCTTTTTTGTTTTCCTATTTTAAGAAAATGCTGTGCTGTCAACTGCGGCAACGCCTTTTCTAGCGGACTCTCCTGAATCACATTGTTCCAATAATTGCGAGGACTTTGATGTTGGTGATGGTGATGATTATGTTGATGATGTTGGTGACAAGAACCATCATCAAATTTGTGGTGACGACCACGGCCATTGGCGTTGTGGAGTGCTAGTGTTTGTTATCATGGGTGCCCCTCGCCCGCAGCTTTTACTGTACAGACCAAAACCTATCCTGGCCATTGAGTGGCCACTTCAATTCGAGGTGCTGCTCTCAGAAGCCGGATGTCTTTGGTGCTTGGTAGAATATTGTAGAATCCTAAGCCCTAAACAGTCCTAGCACAACACCTACCCAGAAGGCTGAGCATCTGAGTTATCCCTGTTTGGGGGGTCAGGGGGACTTAGCAAGTGTATCCTTATAACCCTTGTCATACACACAGTAACCCTAGTTATCCCCATTAGCAACCTACTTGCTAAGCCCCCCTGACACTCCCAGTAAAGTTGCATCTCAGCTTCCTTGTGGCCATCCATAGACACGGCAGGCACATTCCAGTTTAGCATTAAAGGTTTAGGATTTAGGGTTTAGGGGCACCTGGCAGCTTATAATCAAAAAGCAGGAGGCTGGGGATAAAACGGGAGTGTCCAAAACAAATCCATAAATAGGACTCTAGGGAACAAGGAGTTTGCCATGAGATTCAGGGGTCCGCTTTGAGGAAGATGTACATGCAGTAGCTTAATGTTCAAAGGGAACTCTAAGTATAAAAGGGGTTATCATTACATTCTAGGGATCCCCTTTAAGGAAGATAAACTGGGTTGCTGTTAAGGAACTTAAATTAAGTTACTATATTGGGGAAACCGTATTATTTATTATATATACCCATTATGGTAACTTAGCTTAAGTTCCTTAACAGCAACCCAGTAAAGCTTAATTTTCAGTGGCTCCGAGTCGAAATCTCAAAAGAAGTCCTCCTGCTTCTGGTTATCCCACATAGCTAAGGAAGAACATGGGGATTTCCTTAACTTCATTATAACACCGCTCCCTGTAGTGGGGTACCGATTTACAATACGGCAAGGCGGGTCCCTGTATAAATTTCCGCAATTTGGGGAACACTCATTTAGGCCACATCCCATATGAAAGAGGGCCACGCCTGCCCCTCAACACTAAACCCTGCATCAGCCCTATTATAGAGGTTTTTAAGGGGATGCTAGGAGTTTCGACTGTAGCTCTAAATAACCCGTCATAAAAAAAAAGAAACCTCAAAGCTCAAAGAAAATATCTCTGGCGTCCCCATGTTAACCGTGCTTTCAGAAACACACATACTTTATGTGTGTGTATATATATATACATACAAGAGTGCATGTGCACATGTACATTGATGTGCACATGTACATTGTACATATATCCCTAAACCCCAAGTCCTAAGCTCTAGACCCTTTGTTTACATCCGTTTCTATATCTAATATGCCATGCCAAAGAGATATAGTATAAATGAGTGAATAGATACATACATATATATATACATATATATGCACACCTGTAGGTACTTACACACGTACATTTGTACGTATACAAGAATTGTCCTAAACAGCCGCTACCTTGGCAGGTGCTGATGTTTGGGGGTGGTTTTTTCGGAGGTGGCGGTGAGGGACGTGAGGGGCCCAGAAGATGCGCATGGGCCCTTGGAATCTCGTTGCTATTTACGGGATACAAAGGGATCCTACTGGGATTACATAGCATAATGGAGAATAACATGCAAAAGAACATGGACTTTTAAATGCAAACTTGGCTTAGATATTCCAAACATCTTGGGCTTCGTGAATTATGGATTTGGGCTGGGGCATTCCGGTCCGGGCATTTTAGGGTTCAGGGTTTGAACATTGGGAGTTACAAGGGCTTTTTGGGCCTTAGGCTTTGCTGCTTTTTGGCGGGATTTCTCAAGATGAGGCCACGGGACCAGTATCGGAAAACTGAAACTGTACCAGAGCTGCCATAAACCAAAGTGCGTTACCTCAGAGGTTTTTGGAAATGAGCCTTACATAATCCTTGATGGAGACCCGTCTTACCTTCTTGTAGTCCCCATCTTGTCCCAGTGTCCCTCCCCCGTTTTGAGAAACCACCGCCGAATTTTGCCTCATAAGCTTCCGTCTGATCCTCCCCACACCCCTTCATAACAATGTTGAATGATATTGTGATTCTTATTCTCATTCTTATTCTTATTATTGTGTCAATCTGTTTGAGGCGGCCCAGCCGGCTTCTTCGGTCAGAATGCCAGAGGTGCAAGCAACAGCTAGGGACAAGACGAGGATAAATTGTTGGAGAAGTTGGCCCGCAGGCAGCCTGAAGGAAGGTCCACCGAAGCTTGTTTCAGCATCCCCAATGAGCAGTGAGAGTCATTATCCTCCCCTTGTTTTGCCCACTGCCTTCTTGTGTAGAGTAGTGTAACATTGGTTGCAACAGTACTGTAGTTGTAGGTAAGTTTCATGAGGTGGGTTCTCTGCAGAAGTAAGCTTGCAGAAGTTCGCGTTGAGGATCTCAACAATGTGACTTGGTGTAGAGAGCTTGAGGCCTCGAGGTGCGGAAAAATCCTAGATCCCTCTGATCATTGCAACAGCCTCTCGCCTCCACAGTCCTGGGCCCTGGGCTCCCAATTCTGACCCCAGTGTCCGGTTGCGGATCTACTGCGGCACATTCTAGTGAGCTACCCTGCTAGACTCAGTGCTCTCAGGACTGGAAGCATAGATTCGCTTTCCGAAGCTGGTGGTTTGCTTTGGTAGACGTGATTCTCACTGCTTGCCTTGGAACAAACTGGAATTGGAAGGTAACCCTAACAGGCGCTGCCCAGGGAAATGAGCCCCTTGAGGGCTCTGAGGCATCTCCGATACGCCTTCCATATTATGCATCTCGATACGTACGTACCAAGGCGGCGTCCAAGCATATCACTTTTGCATGGATCTGCCCACTCCGATGCTTCTTGATCCTCCCTCGCGCGTACTTCAAGTACTTCCCATTCTACTAGTTTCCATGTGCTTTTCCATCCCCTATGTCTCCCTATCTAAACCCAATATGCACCCTGTTTTAAACTCGCTTCCACCTGACAACAACGTTTCCCAATTTCCCTCACTAGAGCCCACCAGGATTTTTTAGGAGGAGCTTCATTGCAAAGGATTGTACAGCATCTAAGGAAAGCTAATTAAAATCAATTAGAATATGTAAAAAGTTGAATTTAAGTTCAATTAAAATCAACTTAAGCTAAGTTAAGCTTGTAACGAAATCATCTAGAATCCTTTTGAAATCAACCAATCAGTTGAACTTGAGGTAAAAGCTGGTTAAAATCGAGCTATAAACACCGTAACCGCATCAATTAGAGACGCGTTTAGATCTCTTATATATATATAATTTCATGTCACCATGTATGAAAGCTACATACAGACATACAGAAACAATAAACACCCAGAAACTCAGGGGGATCCCAAACTTTCTTTGGATTCCTTATAATAATCCCCTAATGACCTGAACTCCCCCTTCATCCATTGTTACATGGATCCCTTTAAAAGTAGACCTGGCCCGTTTTAGAAGTAATATTTCAGGAATTTCCCAGAATTTGGAATTCTCTGGGAGGGGTATTTGTTGTTGGGGGTTTATTGTTAGGGGAAGCGATTATTGTAGGTTCCTTTTTCTTTTCCATTCCCCCAGGTATCCCTATCTAAGCCTTGTTGACACCCGTTTTAATATTGCAGTTTCCATCTTTTTTAAAATAGTTTTGTTCTTGGATCCTTCTGGCAGCCAGCCCCGCGAAAAAGCTTGAGATTCTTGTGGTGCTAGCTGAGAATTTTACAGCAGTTCACACAGTAACTAAGCTACATCATCAGGTAGGTAGGTTTCAGTGATCTCAAACCCACCTGGCTGGCCGCAAGCCAGCACGCAGCAGGCAAGCACCCAATTCATTATAGTACGGGTCTCTATATTGGGGTTCCTGTTTTACTACCCTAAACCCTCAACCCTAAACCTTCAACCCTAAACCCTTAACCCTAAACCCTAACCACTTTGGGAAGAGTAATTTAGGCTCCAGGTCCCATGTACTACTTTTTGCCCTTTGGCCAGAACCTGCTTCAACTCGGTCTTAAGTCTCAAGTCTACTTACAGGGTCAGGGAGACTTAGTAAGTAGGCTAATAATGGGGATAACTAGGGAGTTTGGGTTATAGGGGCTATTAATCTATTATTAAGTCCCCCTGACCCTCCAAGTAGCCTGTGCCCTAGGCCTAAAGGCCTGTGTTTTTGCAATCTTATTATATCTGTATATGCGGGTGATAAGTATCCTTCTTCTGCATACTGAGACGTAGATTCTAGATGTAGCTCAAAATGCGTGAACTCTTGAATGCAGAGCCTGTGCCGAATGAGTTGGAAGGCAACTTCAAAGCGGAGTATGACGTGTATCCTGCAACTGGGCCTGAAATGGACACTTCCTGCACGAGGCCATTGCCTGCCAGGAGCCTCCTTGTACCCTTAAAGAAGGGCATATGTTCCCTAATAGTATTTAATTCAGAATAGAAGGGAAGGAGGTCTAGCAACTGGATCCAAATGCCCAAGCTAATTCAGTCAGAAGAGGGCATGCAATACCAGCCCCCACATCTCAGGGTTGGTTTCATACTCCCAATAAGCTGGTCCTTACAACGCGGCCCGTCAAAAACTGACCTCCAATTTCGGGAAATTCACATGGGTATTTCTCAACATGCTCGCCCTGAATAGGGTGGATGGGGTCCGTAAGGCCCTCCCATGCCCTCCCTGAATTTTGCATACCGCCCATATCCAGCTGTTGCATCCTTCCTTCCTAGCGCTGAGGTAAGTTTCCTGGGCAAAGAAGAGCTGGAAAAGGGAAACAAGTGCGCCGCCCGCACATTGGCAGTTGTCACACCTTTGCCATTTGGAGAAGCCCATGGCATGCTTGTGGGCTTTCTCCAACTCACATGATTTGTTGCAGCTATGGCGTTTACAACGATTTTTCAGAGGCTTTGAAGAGATTGTTTCTCAGCGGTCAAAAAGCATGCGCAGATACCTGCGCTTTTGCCAAGCTGGCATGCTGTAGCCACTGCCACTTCTTGCTATGGATTTGGGTTTCTCAAGCATGTTGAGTGTGATACTTATTTTAAGCATCTCGGGGATGAAAGGAAGGACCCCCAATTTTTGGAAATTGCCACCAGCTACCGCTGACACCACAGGATCATCCTGCCACAGTCCGCGCTGGACCGACTGGCACGGCTGAACATTTCCTGGCCGATGCTTTTTGAGGCCTGCTGCATGTCTCAGATAGGTCTCTCCCGCAACCGCGGTCCTTTTAGGCGCCCCATGGAGGGATCTATGATGTTAAGACAGCCTCACATGAGCTACGGTCAGTGTGAGGGCTGTTAGGGTTATAAGAGACCTTTCAGGGTGGATTTAGGGGTCCCAGTTGTAGTTTAGTATACATAGTCCCCTATACAGTCCCTAGTCAGGAACCCAGGTCCATTAATCATCTGGGGAATATTGACTGTAGCTCACATGGGTATGACAAGCATGGTTGTGGATGGAAAGACTGGACCCCGACAGATGACAAACGTCGCCACCTCCAGATCAACCCATGGAGGTGTTCAAGAATTCAGTGTGTCACGCTCAGACGCCTTGAATTGAAGCTGTTTCCTGTTGTCCTGTGCCAAAGCCTGTCGGAAGCCTTAGTTGTTTGCTGCCAAGGCAGAGGAGGGCGTTTGCTATTTCCCATACTGGATGATGCCGCTGGGATTGAAAAGAACCAGCAGCTAGCGCAACAATATCCCAATCGAAGCAAAGCAGCTACAACCATCCCTCTATACTGTGAGGGTTCGGTGGCTCTTGCCTGCTATGGCAAATGCTTTTGGACATGATACAGCACGCAATCCTTTGATTTCAGCTGCAGCTACAGTCAGCTTGAAGCGGCACGAAGAGGCTCAGAGTTGCAAGGCGTACTTATCGGGATAATATTGGGGTTATATTGGGATAATGGAAAATAAAATGGAAACTATTATTTAGGGTTTAGGATTTTAGGGGCTTAGGGTTTATGGGCATATAGCTGAGGCAAAACCTTCTCCTGGAAGTGGGTTCGAGAGTGGAAGCACGCAGCTCAGCAATGCGCAGCTGTTTCCTCAACAGGGGCATGCGGGAGACTGATTCTCAAGCGTTTGGCTTGTGTTCGGCCAAGCTGCCACACCGCTGAGATCACCAACACGTCGTTGCCAAAGGGAAGCTTCGTCAAGCTGCAGCCCATACATTCCGCAACCCTGGCGTAGTTTGCTTCGATACGGCACATGACCCCTTCGCTCAAAAGCAACACAAGTGTTAGAAAACAGTTCTCCCCAACGTACTTCCAAATATAACACAATCCTGATTGTAAACATTGCCCAAAAGGACCCCGAATCATTGGAAACCTTCACGCTCCCAAGTAGTGCTTTGCCAGGATTTCCTTGAAATCCACAACCCTCGTGCAGTCTTGGAGAATTCCTTGAGGACAGGCTGCGACTGTGCAGATTAATAACAGTAATAATAGTAATATCGGCAATAATAGTAGTAATAATAGCAATAATAGCAATAATAGCAAGAATAGTAATATTAGCACTGATTGCCTGATCCTCAACAGTCTTCTCGTTGACATGGGATAAGTCTGCGTGAGTTCTCGCGCTGATGTGTTTCGCGTGCTTTCCAGCAAAAGAATTCAGCAAAAGAAAGGCAGTCCACTCAGCCAACTCGAATCGAAAGCTGTCTTCTGCCATGTTGAATATGAACTCAGCAGGAATTTCGCCACGCTGACCGTAGGGGACTGCATTGCCAGGCTCTTACAAGGGTTTTGAGCAGCCCTGACACATTAGGTTCATGAGCAGATGATGCACATCAGTCGTTGAAGCAGGAAAATACACCAGAGAATGAGCCTAAACCCTAAACCTCAAACCCCTAAACCCTGCCCCATCTTGAAGTTTGGTGCATGGGCTTGTCAGTGGAAGTTGAGGCCCAGTGATTCTTGCTGGCGTTACTGTTGAGAGGGGATGAAATGTTGTCAGTACAGCTGAAGGATACACGCCGTCATAGCACATATGCCTGACATGTCGCAGTCCTGACTTGAAGCCAAGGTCATAGACTACAATCAGAGAAAATACGAGATTGAAATTGCCGAGGCTGGGAGCATACAACAATAAAAATGAGAGCAATAGTATTCATAATAGTAAAAATAATAGCAGTAATAGTAATAGTAGTAGGAATACTAATGGAATTAACTGTATGGCTTTCTTGAACTGCACAGCAAAAAGTTGCCTGACCCTGCGCAGTGTAAGCCGGCCAAAGCGATTTCCATCATCGAAGCTGACGTAAACGTGGACTTTGCGCCTCCGAAGGATTACCAGGACTGGCACAAGAAGGATGAAAGAGTCATATCAATAGGGTTTAGGGTTTAGGGCTTCGGCTGCAGTTGATCTGAATTCCTGTTCCCAAAAACGACCTAAACCCTAAACCCTAAACCTTATATCCTAAACCCTAAACCCACAGCATAGTTTTTCCATATTTTCCTTGTAGACCTACAGTGATTTCACCCAAGGATCAAAATCAACCCCCACTGCATAATCCCTGGGTTTAGGGGTTTAGGGTTGCTGGTAAGGGAGTACAAGATATAGGGATGGTATAGGGATTACATTCCCATATTCCCTACGAAAGAGCAGTGAGTCAAAACCACTATTGTTAGAAGCCCTACGATTGCAATGCATTTAAATGAATAAGCTTAGCTGTATGTTATCCCTGCAATTCTTAACCCTAAACCCCTAAACCCTAAACCCTACGTATATGTGTGTGTGTGTGACAGTCGGGCTTGAGGGATGCAAAGTTCCCAAAAAGTGGCGAAGGGGCAGTTTCCCAAAATACGGGAACTTGAGGGCTTAGGGTTTAGGGTTTAATTGTGGCGTACCCAAAATGGTACCACTATTTTTGGGACTCCCTAATCCCTATATACCGCTTTGTCATCGCAGTTTCCATTTGATTTTCCGTGTTCATCCGTTTTCTTCTCCCTTTAATTCTCCATTCTTGGGTGTCCAATGTGACCAGAACCATTATGTCACCATGTGAGCCGTAGTCTAAGCTCCTTAAAGGGGTGTAATATAGGGAGCTATATAAGGGAGTACAATAGGGGTTATTGAGGGGGATATTTAGACTACAGCTCATGTGCTTCCTATATGCTCCCCTCTTTCTGCGCAGTACTTCGCACGCCGCATATCCCCACACCCTGGTTTTCATGTTCGTTTCCATTCCCCAATCCTGCGTATTACCCCTAAACCCTGAACCATCAACCCTAAAACTCCTAAATCCTAAGACCCTAAAACCCCTATACCCTAAAACCCCTAAACCTTGAAACCCCTAAAACCCTGCAACCCCCTAAACCCTAAAACCTTAAACCCTGCTTTTGGGGGTTCCCCCAGAAGCGCCGGCTTCGGTGCCTTCATCTTCAGGAGCCCCAGTAGTACCCTTTTGCCCTTTTTATTTAGGGTTCTCCTTATTAAAACTGAATAGTAGGAAAAAGGGTACCCTTATTATTATGGGGTTACTGGGGACCCTAGCCTATATAACCCTAGAATATAGTAGCTTCCATTTTCTTGTCCATTATCCCCTATATAACCCCTATATAACCCCTTATTTTTATGGGGTTACTGGGGACCCTAGTCTTCAGGAGCCCCCACCTCCTTCCGCAGCTGCAGAAATTGCGGGTGCCTCCTTCGCTACGAAGGCTGGACCTAAGGGTGGGGGGTCGGGTTTAATGGGGTTTGGGTCAGAGTTAGAGGCAGGAGGCGATCTTACTAGACACGCTAAAGCCCACTGCAAAAGCCAGCTGGGAGCAAATGTCACGAACAATACTGGCCGCAAGTATGAATAGTTGCCACGCATGTGACTTGGTGAAAATGCAGTAGTCCCTCTTGATCATGACTACTAATTCACACTATCCGAAGTGACACGGTACGCAGCATCAGTAGCCCTGGGCTGGCAAGATCTCCTTTCACTAGCTCAGGTAATGTAGGTTAACGGCTTCTCTATCTGTGACCACATGCCGTACCTCTATCGCCTGGCGCGAGACTCCTCTGTGGAGACTTGCGCATGCTTTTGCGTTCGTGCGTGGCCTCGCATTTAGGTTGCTGCTATACCACAGATCTAACAAGCTGCCATGTATCCCTTGTGTACAGAGACCACTGAATCCTCCTTAAAGTCCTTCCCCCCCACATATAGTCCCCCTTAAGTAGATAGAATATGGATATATGGGGATCTTATTATAATATACCCAAAACCATATTCTATCTACTTAAGGGGGACTATATCCATGGAGTCCTTCGGGGGAGTGCCCTGTTTTGAGAACACCAGAGGTAGAGGAGGCGGACGCTGTGGCTCCAGAGGCCAGCGGTACATAGTGGTACATAGGTTGGGTACTGCCCCCACCCAGTAACAGTTTATATTAGGGTCCTATTAAGGGCTATATATATCCATATTATAATTATTATCCAACTGTTAGTGAGGGGGGGCAGTACCCAATACATAAGGTTATATGGGCATGTATAGGTGATACGCGTGGGCTATATTGGCATTAGAGTTCAATCGGGGTACATATTCCAAAAGTTGGGGGTTCTTTTTCAGGGGTCCGAATGTGGATAGTTCTGCATGGGGCAGGGGTATACAAGGGAGCCACACTAGCTTTTGAAAACTTACCAATATGTATGTGTGCAGGATGATAGAGAAAAATTGTATATCCAGGAACTCGATTTAGTTGGGACCGATTTGGGAATTCCTCAAACAGGGCGAGCTCCTGGAGATCCCCACTTGTCAACCGCAAGGACTAATCATATACATCGGCGGTGCGATGTATATATATATATATTTTTATACACGGGTATAGGACCCCAGGTCTCCTTGTATATAACCATTCAAAGAATATGATAATCTTAGGACACCCTAGAGCAGCGTACAGGTTTCCCGGTTGACCCAAGAAGCTACAGAATGTTGAGAACTCTGGCTGACATTTTGGCTCAAGCAACTCAGTTCCCGTTTCTCTTTGTCTTTTGCCATCAGCAGCACCATGGGTTGCAACGGTTCCAAGGCAGCAGCCAAGCCCTCCACCACGGAGGCTGTGGCACCTGCACCTGCACCCGCCAAGGAGGCTCAGGCCGTGACGCTCGAAGCGGATGCGGTGCCTCCAACTGCGGACATCGTGGACGCAGTGGAAGCACAGGTAGGAATTAGTGAAAATGATCCCTACATGCTAATGTTCAAGCGGGACTCACACAATCTCCTTCTATGATCCCATATATCCCTTTGATGCCACGATACCCAGAACCTCTCAGGCGGGGGAGTTCTTGAAGCCCGATGAGCAAGGCAAGGCAGAGGACACAGAGACCGTGACAACCCTGCCAAAAGAGGAGGGAGTTCTTTCAAAACAACGGCAGCATGATCACTTCCAACTTCGACATGATCCCTAACCGTGTTTCCTGGAATCCCCTTGTAACTTGTAAGCTCTACGTACCCCTAGGCTTCCCCAGATTACCTTTAATTAGAGAAACTCCCAGGACTCACCGCTTGGTGGTGATGCGAAGGATGTGAAGATTGAGGGTGATGCCCTGGCAAGCGCTTGCACGTGCGCTGGTTTCTGGTGAGCAAGTTGCTACAGTACTTTAGGAAAGTGCTTAGGAAAGTGCAATGGCATGCTCCTAGCCAAGAAGTCTTAGAAGTAGACTTCTGTTTTGCTAAATTTAGTGGATCGTTGCTGCAAGCAGGCAGCCGCCACATAATTGGACACTGCAAGTCACCCGTGCTTGGCGGACGGGCCTTGCAGAAAAAGGCACATCAACTGCCGGGGTCCTCTGATGAGCCTGAGGACGTTTTCCCACGCTTCACATTGCAGCGATTGCAGCAGGAGACTGCGTCAAGACTTTTTGGGGGCAGCGGTCAGAGCCGCGCACTCAGGCGTCCATTGATCTCATCAGGCCTTGCTGACTTGAGCACATGCGTTACAGCCAAAATTAAGCAGAACTCCCCCGAAGACGCCTTACACTGCGTGAGCGACATGATGTTGACGCCTGAGTTTGAAGTAGCCTCATCTTCGGCAGGAGTCGATGGGAAGCCCATTCGGACGCCGCTTTCCTCCCCAGCGGCAGGCCTTTCTTGCCGTCCGTCTGCACGCATGTAAAGAAGGAAGCGCTGGCCTGCAAGTTGTTGACGCTAACTTCGCCTTATGACGTGTCCAAAAGAGATGTCCGCGCTAAGAGACTCCACTCAGCGGACTGCAATGGGTAATATTTTTACTCAAAACGTGTGCGCGTCCTTTGACCTGATGAGCACGACGTGCATCACTCTCAACATGATGCTGCCCGGTGAACCCATGCTTGTAGGTTTGGCTATAGTATATAGATCTGAAGATTCGCAGAGATCTGTTTGCAAGTGAGATCCGCAGAGCTTTTGACGTTGCCAGGTCCATCTCCCCCACCGATGCCTTATACTATATAGCAGTTTCCATTTTCTATCGCATTATTTTTCTGGAGTGTCTTACGCCCTGGGGGTCCATTTTCTCACGTAAAAGCACTGTTTGTTGATTTTTAAGTCATTTTTATACCGAAATCTGGTTCCTTACAAATTGGAATAACCTTACCACATAAGCCTTAGACTGTTATCAACTTACACATCCAACAAGGTCATGTGCACGTAGAGATATGCGTGGCCGGTATCATGTATCTGCATATGTCTTCCTAAAGACGATCCATCAGAATATGGCTTCTCAGTTAAACAGATGCTCGCCTCCCCCAAAACTGCCACATGCGTTGAGCCCTGCGCCGCTGACCTTGATCTGTACTAAGTTCCTCTTTGCATCCTCTCACGAGAAATGAGATAAGAGTCGCTTTCATACTTTCCACCATGCACATTGGGATCCCACGAAAATTCTTACCATGTGGCGACCGTCTCCATCGCTTAAGAAGGAGACTCCCCTGCCATCCACATTCCCATTCTTTGAAGTCCTTGTACTCTAAGCTTAGATTATGCTCAGGGAGACACAATTCCTGAATAATTGTGTCTAGAAGTTAGCAACCAATCAGAACATTGAATCTATTAGAGACCATGGAAATGTTATACATAAGGGGCTTATATATAAACGAAGCCCAAGACTTGAGAAGTCGGATATAAGCTGACAGCGTATTCACCTCCATATGGAAGAGGACTCAAGCTCCTCTTGATTCTTTTGAGGTTCTATGGGATCGAAAGAAACACCTGCGAGGAACTGGAGCTTCCACCTCTTTCAAGTCAATTGTATTTCTCTTGTACCTTTATTGTGGAGAAGAAAGAATTCTATTCCTTTCATAGGAGCGTAGGTTATCGGTTCTCCCGGCGGCCTTACTACGTAGTTTTTTGTTTGTTACTGCGTTCCATATATATGCAATAAACCATTCTTAGGGAATATCATTTGCATAAGTGCTTTCAAAGTTATGTTTGGTATGCTCTTTCTCCATACTCTTAGTATCCGAAGAACCCAAAAGTCACACTTATATAGGCACTAATACCCTTCACATGTTTTGGGGCTGCCTTGGTGGATAGTGTTGTATTTTTCTGGCTAGCCCATTTCAAAAGGCTCAGCAGAACATCAGCAAATTCCCCCATTGCCCCAATCATCATTGTCTCGTTAAGTATGAATACCCTGGTCTATATGTTCATGTGTGTATATATGCGAAAGACAGATCGTGTCTGCAACTTGGAGCATGATCCCATCACTTTCATGGCAGTCTGCCCTGACATTGTTCGTATGTATTATGTGCTATTTGCATAGAAACCCTCGAATTCCCGCATAAAACCCTGGTATTTTGTGTGGGAAGTAGCTTAGCTACCTCATGGTGATGGAGGCAAGTATATCCCACTAATACCCTTACAATTTCGGGGTGCCTTGCAGGATTATATATGTTTTCTGGCCAGTGCGTTGCAAACTGCTCGATAGATAGAGCATTATCGATCTCCACGATTTTCAAACGTGTATCATTTTCGCATTCAGTATGAGAACACTGGTCTATGTATTCATGTGTGCACGTATCAGTAAAGGGGGTGCACCTACTCTCAGAATACTAAGATCCTGAACACACAAAACCACAAAACAGAACCACACGTGTTAATACATATATATATATGTAGAATATGAGTCTGTACTACTTCATAAAAGTTGCGAGCCCTGCAGTTACTGGTACTATATAGATATGATGCATATACATACTCGCCATCTGCTCATGCCTGATATATCTTCGGCATTTTCATGTATCCTCATGTGGCGTTTCTGATGTGTTTTAACGAGTGTGAGCATGAGCATTGCTTTTATTGGCACGTGGACGTTTCGCATGGTGCTTAATGTTACGAACTTCATAATCGGTGCACCACGAAAAGGCTGAGAATTTGTTCAAGGAACAAGATATCTACGAAATTTGCTTGTCTCGAAGAAACCCCAAAAAAGGATCAGGTGAAGTCATAGTAAATTGGAAAGCTCTGGCAATAGTTTCGAGCCTAGGTTCCTCACCTCGCCTCCGGGACCCCAGTCCCCACCTATCCCTCCGGGAAAGCCTCAATGTCGGAGAGGCGCCGGAGAGTCCCAGGATTCAATCCGGGGGGGTGGGGGGGCCGGGGTGGCAAGCAAAGCAAGAAAACAACTTTTTTTTTTGCTCTCCACCCTCTCCCTGAGCAAATCTCTCTCCTTCTCCTACTCTTGCCTTGGGGAGCTTCCTGTGAGCCTCCGTAGAGCTTCCCCAGAGCCTCCAGAGACTCTCTTGCTTAGTAGCTGGGTAGGTAACCTTTAACCTTTTGGGGTATATATAGTCCTATTATAATACAAAGGTTAACCTTTTGGGGGGCCAGGGAACTCAGCAACTAGGCTTGCATATTCTTTCTATGATCTAACGCATGCTTAGCATCCTGCATACGAAGGATACCAACCTTTGGGAACTTTCCATAGGATATTTGAAAGAGTAACTCTTATATTGACATAAGAAGCACATAAGACTCATAAAAGTATCGAATACGTCAATTTGATGCTATTTTACGAACCCCAGAAACGTGGGCCTCAGGGCGTAATTTTCTGTATTATTTAAAAGATATACTATCCTAATAGTAATCCCTACATAACCCCTATATTGTAGTTTCTCAAATAGTGGGGGCCCCAAAATAGACCCTGATATATTGTAATCCTTATTATGGGCCCCCCCCAAACGGTACCACTCATTATGGGAAACTTCCATATACCCCTATCCCTAAACCCCTAAACCCTAAACCCCTGACCATATAGTCCCGCAGCACTGCCAGGTCCATCTCCCCCACCGATGCCTGATGAGGAAGTCCTCATGCCCTGGATCAAGAGAATACCGGGAGGCTGGATCCCCAACGCGGTTTAGGGTTAGTAGTTTCCATTTTCTTTTCCATTATCCCTAATATAATAAATATAGTGGATTAACTCCGTTCTTTTCCAGTTGCTTCTCCATTAGTTACTGGGCTAATATCCCTCTATAGTTTCTGAGAATACCGGGAGGCTGGAAACCTTGTATCCTTGGATAGCCGCTGATCAAGGGGATCGTCTTCTGAAAGCACGTGCAAAGCAGGCATCAAGTGGACGACACCGCCGTATGGCTATGGGGAGAGCCACATGACTGGCGCAAAGGCTCAAAAGGGAATACAATATAGGGTCTTAGGGTTAGTAGGGAATAAGGGAATCTATTATACGGGTATTATATATGGATTATATTCTCGTATTGCCTACTAAGATCTGCAAGTGAATCCCAAGCTTCTTGCAACCTACTGACATGCTTGATTCCGCTACCATGGATTCCAAGACTTCGCGCGTGAGGCAATACTAAACTCCCATGACTGCCATCCCAGATGACCCCTGCAAGGCATGAAGGCTGAGCACAAGTCAGACGTGAAGAGCCGGGACAGACCTGCAGATTGCCCACCAAAATGTGCAGCAGGGGCTAGCAGTTGGAACCTGATGAATGTCCCAGGTTGTTGGTTTGGTAGTTTCCCAAAATAAGGGGACCCTAATTTAGACCCCAAAATACTATAATCCTTATTATAGGGACCCCCAAAAAGGGTACCCCTAATTTTGGGAAACCCCCATTTATGCAGCTCTAAAGGTGTTGGCCCTGTCTTGCTCTCCAGGTTGGCTCAAACTGAAGTCAGAGCGCAGAGGTTGCATGGCCACGAATGCCTGGCACACATCAGCAACCCAGACCCCTGGGAGGGGTCTGGCAAGGATCCGGCAGGCCCACATTTATTCAGCGCATATCCGAAGCTACCTTTGAGTAGCACTGCAGACGCTATGGGGTGACATGGGTGACGTAAGGCAGGGGGTGAGCTGCACCTAAGGTTCTTAGAGCCAGGGGTGAGAAGTAATCTCGCAGTGCTGTTCCCAAAGCAAATGAAGAATCCAGAGGCCCATTTACCTGAGACTCCTAGTCTCTGGTATCTTCAGGTAGCTGGCTTTTTTTATAGGTAGTGGGCTCCCTAGGACTAGGAAGACTCCCATCTGGGGAATGACTTGGCAGGCATCGATCACGGCGTCCTTTGGTTGCGCTTGGTCCCGACGGCCCGCAGCCGGAACGAAAGAGTTACTGGGGTATAGGAGGGAACAAGGTAATAT